TATTTAGTCCATAGTCGAACCCACAAGGAATTAACCTATCAATTACTCTTGTTAGACTTACTAAATTCTACGGAATCAACTTCCCAAACGTTTTGAATAACAATTGAGGATATTTCTACTAACTATACTGACTTCAATTAAGTAACTAAAGACTAACTATGATTAAGTTGTAAACAATTAAGAAAAGGATCTAAGGTTGTGATTTTCCCTATTGATGGAATCCCTTCCTGTTATGTTTTATACAGATTTGCATAATCATCTCTATCGATCATAAGCACTCTTATTACCGTAAATCTCTCCCGAGTAATTACGACAATTTACTAGACGCACTCTCCCGAGTTACGCTAGCTGGCTTTGATTACAGCTCACTTTAGATCACACCCAAGGCTTTGTTATCCCTAATCCCGCCTTTAAACCTTCGATTATTGATCCCTCATATACTTTGGGATTGGTGATGTTCAACAATTACCTAAATATGCACTCTTTCCTGAGTAATACATACTAAATAGGCACAGCTAATTGAGGATCCTATCAATTAACTACAACAAGAACGTAGTTGAACAAATAGAGATTAAATCGGGCAACTTATATTAACATAACATGAAGTTCATCCTTCGATAGGTTCCATCAAAACCTTAGACTAAATATTTAGCTACTCATAGCAAAGCAAGATAAAACTACAAAAGTATTCATAATGTGCAATTGAAATAATAAAGAGAAGATTGAAAAACTCTAATGGTTGATTGCTCTTCTCACACTTGTTCTTGCCTCCAAATCAGTCTAAAAACAAGCTTGACCTTTTCTTGGGTGAGTTTGTTGAGTTTATAAAAGGCTGATATAAGTTTTCCCCAATTTACACTTTATTCCCAAAATTCTGGGCAGTTACACAGTCTGCCGCGGCAGAACGCGGTGCGACCACGGTGAAACACAACTATTCTGCCTCGCTTGCTTGGCCTACCGTGGTCTAGCCGCGGTCAACCGCGGTCGCGGTGGCATTCAGCCAGTCCTCCTTTGCTTCTTCCTTGCTTATTTTCGTTCGGGTTCTTCTTGATTGGCCTTTTATCCACATTCTTGACTCCTAAACACTCCATAGTCTCTTCTTAACTTGAATTAGTCCCTGCGAAGCAAAAGAACACCAATTAGAGTATTTTGTTATCATTTAGCCTTTAAAACAACAATAAAGCATGGTACATTTAGAGAGTAAATATCGTCTATATAGCCTATTATCAACACCCCACACCTAAATCATTGCTAGTCCTCGAGCAATCCACCACACTCTATAAAGGTTTCTTCACTATGGTTTTCTCCTAACGTATCACACCAAGAACAACTCACCAAAGTTGCACTAGTGGTGAACAATCTTTGCCTCAAAAGTCGATTCTCACGTGCCGTACAATATTCGTACTTACTCAAATTACTCTATACAGAAGTCAAGACTTACCTTTCCTTCGTGAATCACATGCCTCACATCACACAAGAGATTAGTTCCATAAATAATATTATTAAGAACAATTAGGAACTCAGATAGACAAAAATTCGCTCACTCTCAAAAAGAGCATTCATATGCCACAAAGATGCACCATAGGCTTGCCCGTAGTGTACTACTCTACTAATCGAGCCCATTCAGTCTAAGATCAATTAGGACTTCACTTGGTTGTAATGTAGATTAAGGGACGGGTAGGATATATTTGAATATAGTGACTAACCTCCCTAAGCACTTTTAATACAATCACATTAACCTTCAAAACCATACTTATGTCAACCAAACATTCCACCGCATTTTTGTTTATAACATCCCACTCCATTAGGTGCAATTGTATCAAGTCACCACTTATCAACTACTACATTTACTCATTTTTTTTCTTTTTTTTTCTCTTTCATTGGTGCTTATTCTTTTACTTTCCAAAAACTGCACATTTTCTCTATTTCATCGGTTCCACTCAAAAACCAAACCACCACCCCACACTTCAACTTTTGCATATGTCAATACCATTCAAGTGCTCATGAGAGGTAAAGAGGTTTAAACAGATGGTCCGTTCAAACAATTGGGTAAGGTTCGCAATGTGATTGCCAAAGAAATATGCTTATAGACTCAATGGGGTTGACTACGATGTATTACATTTAGGTGGGTCTACTTTATATATCTGGCTTAAACAAGAAATGCCTATATCACTTCTAAGACTGAATAAAGCTACTATTTCGCTTTGCAAACATACGGGGCAAGTTCTAGGCATCAAATGTAAAGCATAGAATATAGTACAACTCACACACACATGACACATGACTCAGTCCCGATTGGCTTATCAAGACACTCTCGTTTAAGTGTTCAAGTTAGTTACAAATATACAATTTAAGGCACTTTAGCAAGAATCAACCACTGAGACTAAGCGTTACACTCTAGTGTCTACTGTGTTCAGGTGTATCAACACTAAGGGTTTCTCTTTCTATTTCAGCTCGTAACCCATCAATACTAACTAAAAACTAAAAACAAAATAAACAAAAACTAACTACACCCGGTTCAAGCTAAACCCTTGAAAAAGAACCGTGGCCCAAAGAAAAATCAAGGGGGAGTTACTACACTACCTAAAACAAAAAAAAAATCTTTTGGTATTTCTTTAGACTTACTTCCCTCAAGAAACTGTCTAAATGATCCGTCATCAGGAAGAGTCCTCATATTCCTGTTTTTTTTCTTTTTTTCGACTTATATCCCTCAAGAGACCTGTCGAGAGGTGTCCGTCTTCGGTCCAAGTTGAAGTTAACTAACATAAACCAACAATACCAAATAAACAAAAAAAACAACAACATACAAAGTTATACAACTTTTACAACAACAACCATCCCCCACCCCACACATAAAACTTTGGCATGTCCCCATGTCAATAGATATATATCATAGTAAGGTAAGGGGACTTCCCTGATGCTCAATCCTGATTAGAGACGGTGCTAGGATCGAGGTGACACGTTCGTCCTAGTGCCCGGAGCCATCCCATGATCTTTTTCTCTGACTTGGCCTATTGAATAGTCAAATTGTCAACTCTGGTGCCCAGGTCAGTGACAGAAGTGCGGAGACCAGCCATTTCTTGCTCCAAGGCTGTCATGCGGGTACTTCGGTGAGCCTGTGATGGTCCCGCCTCATCAACTCTCCACTGTGATGAGGCAACAACATCCTCAGCATCCTCATCAACTTCATCATCATCCTCAACAATGACTACATGCTCTCTTCCAACTGTGATTTTGCTAGCCCGGAATGGGGCTTTCAATGGCAATTTCCCATCTACTCTGGGATTTTCAAGAACTCGTGCAACACGGCACAGCTTGGTAACCAGAGAGGGGAAGTAGAACCCTTTGAGTACTTCTAGGGATCGAATAAACATCTCATCATGAAGGAGCTTAGCGACATCAAAATCCTGGTGGGTCATAAAATAGTAGATAGCTGCTGCTCGTGGCCTATTGACATTGGTAGTGTTGCTGGAGGGTAGCAAACGGCTGTTGATAATTGAGAGCCAACACTTAGCCTCACAATTGAGAGACTGCGAGTTTAATGTGATCTGGTGCTTTATCCATATATGCTCCCTGTCAGGCACACATATTGCTTCAAGAATCGGTGCCCACCAGATAGTAGGGCGATGATAAGCAATGTAAGTATCTCTATCCCCAGTGAATACTGGCAGCCGGTATACTCGGCGGATGGCCTCAAGGGACACAATTACCTGGGTGTTTCGTACTGTGACCACCCCATTTTCATGCTCCGGAGTTAGTGTAGAACTCTCTAACCATCTGTACATTCGCCTCCTCCGGTTCATCAAAGAAGATGTCCAGCTGACACCTCCTCAACTCAGCAAAGATATTTGGGCATTCCACTTGCAAGGCTTGCCGGTCAATATGCACTTCACGTAACAATTTCTTGGACACCATGGCATTATACCCGTCCTCAGCTGGTTTGGAGACAAACCTAGCGCGGTCAAACTGTTCCACACTAGCTTGACCCTGAGCTCTAGAAGAACTGCTCAGTCCACTAGCGGAGGACCCTGTGGTACGTCTCTTCATGGATTGATGCATTGTACATGCCAAAAATAGATCCTATCAGTGAGGGTTTGAGTTGTGTGAACCCTGGGTGGTCACTCAGACTTCACCACTACCATGGTCACATTAGCCATTACAACTCCATTGGGGAAATTTCACAAACACCTTGTGAGCAAAGTTCTATCCTAACATACCTAGCCCCATGGAAATATCAATTCTTCCCCCAAATCAACTATTCTTACTTCACCATTCCACCCCACCACAATTATTTTTACAATCAAAGTCACACACTTCTCCACAATATTGTGCACACACTTCTCTACAACATTGTGCACTTAACCCACACAAAACAACAGAAAAGAAAATCAAAAGAAAAAAATATACTCTAAATACTACAACAATTAAAGCATTGAACTTGCATAAAACTAAAACAAAAATACAAGAGAAGAGAGAGAGAAGCTTGACATACCTGGATGTAGGAGAGGGTGAGAGGAATGGGGGTTGGGGGAGATGGGTGTATATGTGAGAGAGGTGAAGAAGAAGAAGAAGAGAGGAGAGAGGCGTTAGGTTTAGAGAGAGAGAGAAGATGGGTGAAAGTAAGGGGTGGGGGCAGGTGTTTTACTTAATTAAGAGGGGGGGGGGAATTAGAAAAGAAAATAAAAAAAATTAAATCTAACTTACCTGGGCGACAGTACGGTCGCATCTCACTGCTGTCGACCGCGGTCCCCCCGCGGCCGTGGTGAGTGAAGGAACAAAAAATAAAATCCTCGTGTTTTGCCGCGGTCCCATAGCGGTCGCGGTGGATCGAGCAATTGTGAGGCAGAATGCTCGTCATTACCGCGGTCTAGCCACGGTCGCGGTCATGAGATTTTTTTTTCATATGGAGGTTACAAAAGAAAAGAAAAACAATGACATTCATGGGTTGCCTCCCACGCAGCGCCTGATTTAACGTCGCATCACGACACAGATAAGTGCATTTAAGGTTCGCTCGACCTCTGAGGTTCAGTCAGGTGAATCTCTACCACTTCCTTTGGTTCATTCATTCCCGCATATAGTTTCAATATCTGCCCATTGACTCTAAATATATGAGAGTCTTTCTCTGCAACAATCTCTACAGCCCCTGAAGGGAATACTTCGACCACTCGAAATGGTCCAGACCATCGTGACTTGAGCTTACCCGGAAATAGCCTTAATCTTGAATTATAGAGCAATACCATGTCCCCGAGGTTGAACTTTCGCTCCACAATGTTCTTGTCATGCAACCTCTTCATTCTTTCCTTGTACAAACTTGTGCTCTTAAAAGCAAGATATCTGAACTCGTCGAGCTTATGCAATTCTGTGATTCTCGTTGTGCCCGCAGCCTCAATGTCTAGATTCAGTTGTTTCAGTGCCTACCAAGCTTTATGTTCAAGTTCCACTTGCAAGTGGCAGGCCTTCCCGAACACCAACTTATATAGTGACATACCAATCGGTGTTTTAAAAGTAGTTCTGTAGGCCCAGAGTGCATCATCTAGCTTTTTTCCCAATCAGTTCTTGTGGCGTTCATAGTCCTGGTTAGCACACTCTTTATCTCTCTGTTTCACACTTCAACCTGTCCACTGGTCTGAGGATGATATGGGGTTGTGATACGCTCAAATTACACTTTAATTAAATAGTGTAAGACGGTCGGTATCAAATATAATAACCCAACAAGGTTGGGATCGAATTCCACAGGGGATAGGTATGAAAAGGTTACTCAAATAGTATGTTACTTGACTAAAATCGTAATTCTATTCGGTTAATGGTAACAAGAGTATGAATTGAGTTTGGTTTGAAGAAATAACTAATTATGATATTGAGAATATAAATAATTTGATAAAAGAAACCAAGGTTGTGTCCCCTTCAATAAAGTGTAATGCTATAAGTGTTAATATGATATATTTCTAATGGAAGGTTCTTTTGATATGCAAATGATTTCTAAATGACTACCCAATATTTTTCAATAGTTGGGTAATATTTCCTCCTTATGATTTTTCCAAATATAAAAGAGTTGCAATTGAGAACAATCACTATATGCCAAATAAAGCCCACTTATTCCTAAGCGATTCTATTAAATAAGGTTTAAAGCCTTGAGTCTTTGCTATTTGCTTCTACCAAATTCTAACCCACTTTTCCAAGCAAAGTAAGAATTTAATGACACTTGTTAATGTTTGCAACCACCAACAATAAATGAAGAATGAGAAGTAAATAAATATCAACAAACCATTATACATATATTCAATGTTAAACACCCATTAACATAACATCCAATTAGGGTCCACAACCTTAGTATTTAAAGCTAGCTACACACACTAGAATACAAAAGGATGAGAATATTTAATGCCATAAAACTTACAAAGTGCAAGATTCTTGACCCAAAAGCTTCCAAAAGAGAGGAATATTAAAGCCTTGTATTGTAGCTCCAAAATCAAACAAGATGCCCCCACAAATCCCCAATAAATCTATTTATAGTGGGTCAAAACTCGGGACAAAATTTGGACAAAAATACCTTTTTCGGTTAAATATGCGGCCACATATCTGTCGCATAACAGACATGCGGTCCGCATTCTTGACATAGCCATCGCATCTTCTAACCCTAGTTTCCAGGCCTTCATCGCATTCACGTTCTACGGTCCGCATTGCAGATATGCGATCGCAAATTTCCCACCTTCAACAACCTTTATGTCGAGTTTGCGGTCCATTATGCATCTCGTAAACAGGTTATGCAATCGTAGACTAGACCGCATTTCTTGCACTGGACTTTGCCCAAAAATCTGTTGTGGTTAGCGATTCCCTGGAGCATTTTGGGGCCCGCATGTTGGATTTGCGATTGCATATCAACATTTGCGATGCATTTTGCTCTTTTCTTGTCTTTTTGTGACGTTTTGATTTCATTTCCATGCTCCTAAGTCCTTAAACGTCATATACTGCAAAAATATTAAAATTACATAAGTATAAAAGATAATTGCATCTAAAACAAGCTAAAATCTAAGCAATTTGTATCAAATGTGCCTAAATTCTCCGGCACATCAATACCCCCAGCTTAAACTCTTGCTTGTCCTCAAGCAACCTAAACAACACTATCCTATTCTAGACTCCATCTAAAAGATATGAAACACTAGTGACCGTGGACGGTGTTTGTTGTTACTACAAACATGCATTTTTGATTGTTTTACCCTTCCTGAACCATCAATATTTACAAAGAAACTAATCAACTTGTGAAACTTTGAGCCTCAAACAATTTAACAAAATGTTACCCTCAGCTGAGTGCACTTGCATTTGACTCAAAAACTCAACTTCTGTCCAACCTCACAATTCATGTGCCCTCACTAGAAAGAAAGTCCCAAAATCACAATTTTTACAATGACAACAAAAAGGGACGAATTCACAAATACGCTCACTCTCAAAAAGAGTTTCAAGTGTTACAACATACCATACCATAGGCTTGCCCTTATTTTAATTCATTGCTTTATTCTAAGAACGCTCGGTTGGAGATCCTATAAGGACTTTTTAAGCTTGTAACGTAGGTTTAGGGAAGGGTCGGATAGCATTTGGGTACAAGTGACTACACCCTCCTTGAACACTACTCACATTTTTCTTTCTTGTTGCTCTTTGCTTCTTTTCAAACCACATAGCCCTCATTAGCTTCTACTTTTCCAACATTTTAGCCACCTTGACTACTTACTTAATTCTCTCCAAGACTCCATATGCATATATATTTACACTTCTCTTTTTTTTTCTCTTGCACAATTTGCTTTTTGGAGCTTGAGTAGTTTCACACATTGAGGTACACTTTCCTACACTCATTGCACAACCTTGCCAATTTTCGGCTTAACACCACACCCCTAATTTAGGCTTTTAACCTCATTCTCAATATTCAAGGAGGGACGGATTCAAAAAAGGGAATTATTTTACAAAAAGGGAAAGGTTTATAATGAGGTGGCCAAAGAAAAGATTAAAAGCTCAAGTGGGGTGACTGGTGATATTATCTGTACAATAGGTGACTTGAAAGGCTAATTAGTTTTCCAAAAATCACAAAGATGGCCTAAGGTCATTTCTCCAACCAAATGCAATTATTATAGGCATCGAAAAACTAACCGGGCAAGTTTTAGATGACAGAAGTAAACACAAGAATTATTTACATAAAGACTCACACACATGACACACGAACTGTTTGGCTCACATAGTTTTAAGCCATCGAGTCAACACTTGGCAACTCAAACTTTCATCATATTTACAATTATAACTCTAGGTAGACATGGAGTCAAAGAGCGAGCTTCAAGTTCACACAGTTGATCTCTTCTTTTTTTTATGGAAGGGTATAGGCTATATATAGGCACACATGCTTGAAACTAAACAATTACACCAAACCGATCAAAATATTTCATTCTACTGCCTTGGTTCTACTATTACACTCTTGGAAAAGAACCCGACGAAGAAAAACCAAGGGGAATTCAATGCTAATTACTAAAAATATACAACGATAACTACAAAACACCAATATATACATAATCACAAAACACAAATAAATAAAGAAGTTTGCTTAAATAGCACAAAATCATGAACATGTACAATGGTTGCCAATTTCACAAAAATATATACAAGGCTGCCACCCCCAACTAAAAAGCATGCATTGTCCCCAATGCATAAAAATGTAAAACAGAGTTTAGGGGCTCCCTGAGGCGCACTAAGCGCTATGGGAGTCGGAAGCCGGCTGAATGGTGATGGGATCACCCTCTGATACTGAAACTGGAACCGATGAGATCTCAGCCTGAGGAGTGACCTTCACTGATGGAGGAGGGATATTTGGCTAACCCAATACTGGAGCTGGGGCTAGCGAGCTGCTAGCCTCGCCCGCTGATGGCTGAGTGGTCGATGGATCTGCTGGGGCGACCATATCTACTAGGGAATGTGCTATTGCCACGTGAATGGCTGCTTTCTCCTCATCCTCAACTATCGAGGCAACAATCTACTTGCCCTTCTCCTGAGGGCCATCATTCTTCTCGGACCATGAATCCTCCTCATCCTCTCCCTCATTTTCCTCTTCACCCTCGGACTCTACAAAGTGCCTGGAATCCTCCTCAGAAGGAATATCAATATGTGTAGAGGGAGCTGGAGGCTGAGAAGCCCCAGCAGTCGGAGGTGCAATATCTGTCATTAGTGTGGAGAAGTCAAGATCCAGGCCAGGTGCTACTATGTCTGCTCCCTGCTCACCTTCCTTGGGCAGGAAGGATGATAGATCGAACTCCAAAGTTTGCATTTTGTGGAGTTCATTCTTCATAGTGGCAACTTCCTCCCGGAGCTTTAGCAAGTCACTAACCTCTCCTCGCTCTATCTTCTCAACCCTCAACTAAAGCTGTTGCAGACGATCCCCGTAAGACATTTGTTGTTGTTGGAGTGCTGTCACTGAGGACTGTATAGGAGTCAAAGCCTGCCTGATGATGGTGGGCAAGTTCTTTAGAAGCTGATCTACCTTAGCATTGGCATGCTGAGCTAAAAGCCCAAGCCTTGAAACGGCTGGCAGTGCAGCAGTAGGCTGAGCAATGGTGGACTGAGAGGCAGGTTGTGAAGTGGAAGTGGATGCAACTGGAGCTTGAGGGGACACAAGAGTATGGGAATCTGCGGGCTCTACATCAACTGGACCCTGAGTCTAAACCTCTGGTGGAGCAACAACATCATTAATGCACGTGATATCAATATCCTTCAGCGCCTTCCCTGTCTTGTCAGTGTGCGACATGGTATGGACTTTCACAGCCTTACAAAGGGCTGTGATCAAGCAGGGGAATGGTAGTGAAGTGGATGTCTGCTTTCCCCGAATCCCTAGCTCTCAGAAGATAAAGCTACCCACATCAATCTTGATTCCCGCCATAATGCATGCAATAAGAAGAGCTTTCTCAATGCTTATGTCTGTCTCGTTTCTGGACGGTATCAGTCGAGAGGTCACAAATCTAAGCCAAAATCTGCCCTCTCGTGTGAGATCCTCCTTGTATATTTTGTGCACAAGGTTGATCCAAGCAGGGGTCCCCTTGGCCCGATTTACCCATTTGGCGTGGTACTCAGCTGTGCCCGGGCTCTAGTCAGGGATGTAAAACTCATTGATAGTCTCATTGCTACAGAACACACTCTTCCCCCGAACTAACACAGTGTCACAGAAAACCTTGTTGGGCTTGTCATGAGAAGTCCTGGAGGCTCCATAGGAGGCATAAAACTCACTAACAATGGTTTCATTATATTCATCAGGTAGCTCCATGAAGCACTCCCATTTTCTTGCCTTGATGTTATCCCAGATGTGGGGGTACTGCTCTTGTAGCCCATTCACACTCAGTTGTTTTTCGGCCATGATTTTTCGTTTCGTCACCCCTTCTCTAGATAGCTCCCTGGACCCCTCGACCCCAAACCTGAGCTGGAGGTCATCTCCTCGTTTCCTTCTTGCCTTATCTTGTAGGTCAACTTCGGGCAAAGTTTCCTCCTCATTAGACTGGGAGGGAAGTGTAGCAGTAGGGTCCAGTCGCGGTCGTTTTGCTTGTTGAGTTGGACGATTGGAGGAAGCCCTTTTTTGGGTAGAGGATGTATGTTTCCTGGGACCCATATCTGCACAGAAATGAGGCGTGAGCAACATGGTAGGCATTAATGAAAAGAAAACAGAAAAACTCAAGAAAAAATTAAGAATGCGACAGGTTATGTGGTGGCATAACCACTACGTGGACCGCAAACTTGTCACAAACTCGCAGGCTATTCAAAATATCTAAGTATGCAATAGGTTATGCGATCACATAACCACTATGCGGTTCGCATAACCATCGCATACTTGATTGCGTAGAAAACAAAATCACAAAATGTGATCGCAAAATCCACCGCAAAGTTGGATATGTGATCACAAAATGGCCGCAGACAACATGTTATTAAACTAGGTATTCTGTATCAGTATGCGGTGACTTTGTGGTCCGCATATCAATTGTGCAATCGCAAAGTCTCCGCATTTAGTCATCTTCGTCAGCCTGCTAGGGTTTGCTTTTGTGGCAGAAATGCGGATCGCATTTTGATTATGCGAGCTGCAAACTTCATCGCTCCCAACAATTGAACTTAACCCTCAACAATGGCGGTCCTAATTTTTACTACCCAGCACCCCAAAACACACTACTTAACCAAAATCACATTATGAACAAACATCTAATCTACAAAACAAAAACAAGAAGAAAAAGGAAACATGAAGCAAAAACAGGAGAAACAAGAACAAGAACAAATGTAAAACTAAAGCTTGCAAGGATGGAATTCGGACAAGGAAAACATACCAGTGATGGGCTTATGAGCACACTTGGAATATTAGTTCACAGATGTTGCCTTACGTACGTGATGCACTAGCCGTTTTGCCTTCTCCGTTCCTTTTCTTCTTTTTTTTTTCGTTTTGTTTTGATTCTGATAATAATAATAAAAAATTTCTTTTTGTTTTGAATGAAGAGATGCGAAGGGATGCGAGGGACTTACCTAGGGGAATTGCAACGGGCAAGTCACCGCATAACACACTATGTGACCGCATAAGTGTTATGCGGTGGATTCAATTGAGTTGCTGCAGGGCCAAAAATACGGTGCACTATGCGATCACATAGTGGAAATGCGGTCCGCAAAGTACATCACCTTGTCGCATTTTTATCACCAATTCTAGCCAAACACACTATCTGGGTTTGCGACCAAAATGCGGTCCGCATAGTGAAAATGCGACCTCATATGTAGCAATCTTCCCAAGGTGATTTTTCTTCCCTTTCTCATGCAATCTTACCCCATGTTATGATCTTTTAAATCCCCTACACTCTAACATACACTTTAAATTGCTAAATTAAATCTATCTAACAAAAATTAAAAATTTAAAGGCCAAAAAGGGTGTTACCACATATGGGTTGCCTCCCAAGAAGCTCTTGATTTAACGTCGCGGCACGACGAAGTTTGCGTTCCTTAGGATTCACTCATGGGTCGGGCATAGACCATCTTTGAGAGCCAAGTGCTCCACCAAATGTTTTTCTCTATCTGTGCCTAAGTAGTGCTTGACTCGCTGACCGTTCACTTTGAAGGTTCAGAGCCCATCCTCCGATTCTAATTCCACAGCTCCAAAAGGAGAGACATTGACCACCTTGAACGGATTGGACCATTTCGATTTGAGCTTGCTCGGAATCAATTTGAGCCTTGAGTTAAAGAGCAAAACCAAGTCACCTGACTTGAACTCCCTCTTCAAAATCTTTTTTGTCGTGGATGAACTTCATCCTTTCTTTATACACAGCTGCACTTTCATATGCATGGAAACAGAATTCCTCCATTTCATTGAGTTATGTTAATCTCAAATTTGCAGCTTCAGCACAGTCCAAGTTCAACCTCTTTAGAGCCCACATGGCTTTGTGTTCCAATTCTACGGGTAGATGACAAGCTTTGCCGAAGACTAACCGATAAGGAGAAGTGCCAATAGGAGTTTTGTACACCGTGCGGTATGCCCACAATGTGTCATCTAGCTTCCTTGACCAGTCGGTCCTGTTTGCATTAACAGATTTTGCTAGAATGCTCTTTATCTCCCGGTTGGAAACCTAAACTTGACCACTTGATTAGGGGTGAAAAGGTGTGGCCACCTTATGCTTGACGCCATATTTCTCTAGTAGCCCCGTGAATGCCTTGTTACAGAAATGAGACACACCATCACTAAGAATGGCTCCAGGAGTGCCACCGAGTGAATATGTTTTTCTTTAAGAATGCGGTCACACTTCTTGCCTCGTTGTTTGGTAAGGCAATCGTTTCAACCCATTTGGACACATAGTCCACATCCACCAAGATATATTTTATCCCACAAGAGCTTACAAAGGGACCCATAAACTCAATTCCCCACATGTCGAAGATTTCTATCTCCATCACAAAGCGCATTGGCATTTCATGCCTCTTAGAGATTGATCGTTGCCTTTGGCATTGGTCGCAAGCCTTGACCATTTGATTGGAATCATGATAGATCGACGGCCAATAATAACCACATTCAAGCACCTTAGTCACCGTTCGATTTCCTCCATGGTGACCCCCAACCGGTGAGTCATGGCATACCTTTAGAATTGGCATAATCTCTTGTTCTGCAACACACTTTCTGATGATGTTGTCAGCACAAAAATAGAACAAGAATGGTTCTTCCCAATAGTATTGCCGACAGTCTCTCAAAAACTTCTTCTTTTGAAAGGATTCCAATCCATCCGGAATAAGGTCACTAACCAAGTAGTTAGCAATATCAGCATACCAAGGAGCAAAAGTGCTATATAGCGCCAATATTTGTTCATCCGGGAATGCATCGTTGATCTCAAGATCTCCCTTTGGCCTCCCTGCCTCTTCAAGCCTTGATAAATGATCCGCTACTTGATTTTGTGTTCCCTTGAGATCCTTGACCTCGAAGTCAAATTCTTACAACAATAAGACCCATCGAATCAACTTAGGCTTTGCATCCTTCTTTGTCATGAGATAGCGAAGAGCATCATGATCTGTGTACACTATTACCTTGGATCCCAACAAATAAGCCCGGAACTTCTCAAAGGCATAGACAATGGCAAGAAGTCCTTACTCAGTCACCGTGTAATTCATTTGTACCCCATTGAATGTCTTGCTTGCATAATAGACCGGGTGGAGAACCTTGTTGTGATGTTGGCCAAGCATTGCTCCAATAGCTACACCACTAGAGTCACACATGAGCTCGAAAGGAAGAGACCAATCGGGCGTGACAATAATAGGTGTCATGGTGAGCTTTTGCTTCAATTCCTCAAAGGCTTTGAGGCATCTATTGTCAAACAAAAATTTTGCATCTTTCCCAATGAGTTTGCACATAGGATTTGCAATCTTGGAAAAATCCTTGATGAAACGCCTATAGAATCCGGCATGCCCCAA